TCATCCCAGGGAAACCCGTCTGCTCCCAGCCTGAGCTGCAGGCCGAGGTTTCTGAGCTGTCAGTGCTATTCCCTGGGGATGGTGCTCCCTATTCCTGCCTCCTGGCTGCCAGCAGCCGGTCCCTGGGGGGGAATGTGGGGCCATCAGGCTCCTGTAGGACCCACACTGGGTCACTCCCTTGGGGTCTTCCTCCACCCCCTGGGCCAGGCCAGGCCTTTGGAGGAAGGATTTGGGGGAGGAATTGGTGCTTTGATGGCAGCAGGGAGCCAAGGTGGGGAGGCAGAGGTGGAAGGGGGCACGAGGGCACTGAAAATCCCCCACCTCATGTGGTGGAAGAGAGGACTGAGAGGGGACAGGCAGGGCAGGGTCCCCAAAGCCACCTGAGCTGCTGGCTGGGCATACCTGGGGGGTTTATCCAGGCAGTGCTGGGAAATCAGGGCTCTGCCTCCGTCTGCAGCCAGATAACACCGACAGACAACCTGGATCCATAAAACTTCCAGCGTGGGCCGTTCCTGCAGTTTCCTTTTACAAGCCTGGCCTCGCTCCGCTGTGAACACCCGCCAGGCTGGGAGCAGGTAAGCACAGAAACGCTTGTTTGAATTCCTCATCTTTCAGCAAAAGCAAGACTTAAGCCTGGCTTTAAAGTTAAGCATGTGTTTTAAGTGCATTCCTGAGTGGGGGCTCTCTGAGACCCGCTGACGTGAGCAGGAGGCTCCTCCGCCGGCTTCAGTGGGATTTTCCCTGCCCCAAATGGAGTCCAGATCTCCTGAAATAAATACCCCCGGCTCCGTAGATGGGGGGACCACATGGAGCCTCGTGAATGCTCGTTCCCAGAGAAAGGATCCAGCTTATTCATGTGCCTGCATAATGTGTATTAAATCCTCCTGACATCTCCCACAATTCCAGCAAGCAAATGGGAACCAGAATGGATCCTGTGCCCCGAGAGCGCTCGGCTGGCGGTGCCACTGAATGATTGGCAGGAGCATTGTTTGCGAGCAGCCTTTCCAAATTGAACTTCCATGTGCCCCTGGCCAGTACAAGATGTGAAATTTCGTTCCCATTTTATCCCAATTAACTGGCCCGGCCATCCATGAGGGCTCCTGGCATGGCACGCTTCCGATAACACACAATAACTCAAATAACCCTCTTTTCCCTGCAGGGGCGGCGCTGGGTGGAGAAGGGAGAATTCCAGCAGGGAGAGCTGTGTTTGCAGCGCCCCCATCCCAGATGTTCCCATTCCAAGGGCTTGCTGCTCTTCCAGGTAAGCAGCAGAAGCACCTACACTGTTTCATGCCTTACTGAAAGTCCTTTGGAGCTGATCTCATGGATGTGGGTTCCACAGGGAGCCCCCAGATCCATGCAGGCTCCCTGGGAGATGCCCGGCTTCCCACACGATGGAATCTCCCACTCCATCTGCCCCTAGAGCTGCAGATCGGTGCCATGGATGGATTTTCTCACAGGAGCAAAGTGTCGGGCCTGTTTTCTGGGAAATGTTCAAAAAGAAAGAAGCTGGAGGGTATTTTTTTCCTCTTTCAAAGCAAACTAGCGGAGCACTTCCCACCAAACCTGGACCAGAAAGATCAAAACCCACTTTGGCTTTTCCCTGAAATGAAGCTTTTCCAGCCACTTGCTCTTATCTGTGAGTCTGAAAACCAAAATCTTTTGCATCTCAAAACACTTTTACTCAACCCCACACACCTGCAAAAAAAAAAAAAAAAAAAAACAAAAAAAAAAAAAAACAAAAACAAAAAAACAACCAACAACAAAAAAAGGACCCATTTTGCTCGAAGGACTTTTTTTTTTGTCCTGGAGAAAGACTTTTTGGTGAAAACAACTTATAGGGAAATAAATAACTATCTCTTGGTTTATTTTCATTGTCTCCTGCCAGCCCTGCAGATTCGGGGAGGCAGAGCAGCGAAGAGAAGGTATTTTTTGTCTCATCTTGAATTTTCCAGGGCCTTGTGCGAGGAGGAGCTGCCAGCACGTGCAGGCAGGAGCGGGAAGCCAAGGGAGCATCACTGGAGCGGTGCCTGGAGAAGGGATTCGGGGCCGAAGGAGCCGGGCAGAGCGGACAAGGCAGCTCTTCACAGCTTTCCCTGCTGTAAATCCCATTTTATATCCCCCGTGTCCCCCACGGGGAGAAGCAAACAGAGCTTTGCGACCATCACTCAGAGCCTTTATGGGGGTTACGACGTTCTCTGCCGCCCGCCTCGCCCCGGCCCTGCTGCCTCCACGCCTTTTCACGCTGCTACGAGTTTCTGCTGGGAAATGATCCCTGAAAAGAGTTTACCTGCCGCTAAATGGCTCCGAACCCCGCTGAAACGCTGCGGAGCCGCTCCGTGAAAAGCTCCCGGCTCGCTGGAACGACCCGCTGAGCACAGCCCCGAGCCGGTGCCCTCCCCGGGGGCTCTGAAGCGTGGCACCGGCCGGGAAGGGCTGCCGAGGAGGAGACGTGATGCTCGGCACCGTAATTCCTAGGGCTGAATCCGGCACCGAGCATCCCGCAGCAGAACGTTTAACCCCTTGTGTCCCTCAGCGCCGTCAGCGCCCAGCCCGACGTCGAGCAAACCCGATGGGGAAGGTCTGTGCTGTGTGAGATGTGCCCTGCCTGCTTGGGGGGGACAAAGGAAGGGGGGAGGCAGTGTTGCCTTCCCCCAAAACTGGTGTTGGCATCAGCTCCTGGCTCAGGTGAGACCTCGGCAGCAGGTTGATGGAGCTGGCCAGCAGGGCAGGGTGTTTCTCTGAGATAATTGGTTATTTATCCTGATGTACATCCCCTCCTTTCCCCCCACAGTCCCTCTCCAGGACTCCCTTGCGATGAGAAGATCCCACAGAAATCCCTCCGAGGGCCATCCTCAGGAGCAGGGGGTGATGTGCTGGATGGATCCGTGCCACAGAGCCCGGCTGGCTGAAGTGTGAGCAAATGTACCCAAATCTCACCCGAAATATTTTCCGGGAGGAGGAGGGGAGCCTCCCTGCTCTTCCCCGGGGCCACCTGCGTGCGGCCGCTCTCCGGACACCCCGTGCCAAGCCCAACAAGCCTCCCGGTGCTATTCCAGCCTGCCTGATGTGTTTTTCCACCAGCGCAACCCAGCATCCCGTCCTTTGCCAAGCCTGCGGCCTTCCCGCTCGGCTGCGGCCGGGAGAAACCCATTTCAGTAAGAAAACAAAGGGAATAGGTTTAGCAGCCCTTCGGCCCCGCTGCCGGGTGAGCACGTGCGGCGTTTGTTTGCAAAGCTGGGCAGAGGTTAATAAGCTGATCCCGCAAAGATTTGCACCTAGGCCGGGGTTTCCATGTGGGCTTAGCGTTAAGCGAGACCTTAATCTAAAGGAAAATATTTGGAGGGAGTTTTGTTTCTCTTTCAGAGCTCTGTAGGACCTGTGAAACGTTCACCGAAGAGAGAGGTCGCTGTCTGTCAGGTTGGGCTCGACGGCCTTGGGGGTCTTTTCCCACCTAAATGGTCCCAGGATTCTGTGCCCCCGGTGGTATCGAGGGCAGCCGGCCGGGGAGGAGACACGGACTCCACCTGAGAAGGTGCTGGTTGTCCCTCACAGCACCACCAGAGTCACGAGGGCTGCAGGTTCTCAGCACCGCTGGAGCCGGGGCTGGATGAGTGTTTGCAGGAGAGAGGTGGCCATTCCCACAGGGAATGCTGTGCAGGACACCCCTACCGTGTCGGAAAGGCGGGAGGGAGAGGAAGGACCCCAAGGGCAGAGGCTGAGCCGCGTCTTTTTGCCACGTTGGGTGCGGGATCGTGGCTTCCGCGGCGGTTTGACCCCAAGCCCTGCGAAATCCAGAGGCTGCTCCCGCCGGACGGTGCCTCGCACGCGGCTCGCAGATGTCGGTGAGCGGGGTCGAGACTTTGCAAGGAGCAACTCTCAGCTGTCCCCCTCCCTCGAGCCCCCGGCAGCGGGGGCGCGCAGTCCCTGCCTCCAGCCCTCTGCGCGCCCTTAGAGCTGACATTGCTTCCTATCCCTCCCAAAAGACTTTGTAGTTTTAAGATTTCAGTACCTGGAGAGGAAAGGGGATGGTCTGGGACCGGGCACCTCCAGAGCTGGAGGGAGACAGGCGGGTCCGGGCTGAGCTGAACACCCTCCCACTCCTTGCGCGCTGCTCGGGGCACGAAAGGAGATTTCAAATCCACGCAGAGAGACTTTCGAGTGATCTGAAATGGTTCCGAGGCAGAAAAAACCGGGTCAAAAAGAAGGGCGGGATAGATCCAAGCAATTTATTTCATTTTCAACGCTCTGAGTTGCCCCCAGATCTGCAATGTTTCACGCAAGGATTTTTTTACGTTAATGATCCAGGATCCCACTCTCGTTTTCCCGTTATGAGTCTGTGATCAAAAAACCGTAGTGTTTAGGGAAAAAAAAAACCCAAACCGAAAAAATCTGGGCGAGTTTGGTGTGGTTTTTTTCCCCCCCGTGTGGATTTGAGGAGCCTTCTGGCAGGGGTGTATTTTACAGGGCAAAATTGCTTTTGACAAACAAAACTGAGTTAGTATTAATTACCTCGACCTGTGGCCTTTACCAGCCTGAAAGAGATAATTACCCAAAACGTCTCAGAAGGAGCTTCGGAAAAGGATTTTATTTTGTTTAAGCTCTCGAACCCTCTTCCTCAGCGAACAGAAAGCCTTTTTTGGGGACACGGCAGCAGGGTCATCCAACTCCCCGCATTTAGCCCGTGCCAGAAGGCTGGGGAAAAAATAATATTGTCGGAATTAATTTCGTGTTCCCTCTGACACACAAAGCACAGGCTCAGGCGCTGAGATAATATTGCACTTGCTGGACGGTGTTCGGTGTGTCTGATCCCACAGCGACAGGATTTTCCAATTTGGATTGATGCTGTCGGAAAACAAGCTCCATAAACTCCTCTAAGAGCCCCAGCATTCCTGAATCGGTAATGAATTACAGTCAATAATATAATATCATAGTCTAGTATGGTAGGATTAGTTAATAATACGACAGAATCATATAATAATATAACAATATAATATATCATGGCGTTACTAGGTAACAGTATTATCTATTAAAAGGTAACAGTATTATAATATGACACCATAAATAATGGAGAATAAATGCTGGTGAAACACACGGGAACTATAACCTTTAACTATACTAATCACCAGCTGCTGCAGTAGAGGAATATCCTCGATATTTCTGTCCAATATCCTCGATATTTCTATCAAATAGCTCTGATATTTCTCTTTTTTATATTAAAAAAAGCTTTTGGAGCTTCCCGTTCCGCTGCGGATCCGGATTTTTATTCAGCAAAACGAACGGTGCAGAATCGCACCTCTGTCACACGAGGCACAAAAACGCGCACAAACGCCCGGCGGCTTTGGCAAAACATTGGTAAAATGAGTGGGTTTTACATGTATTTTCAGGTCGGACCGTGCTCGCGGCGCTGGTGCTGGAGAGGATGGTGAGAGGAGCGGGGAAGGAGGAGGTGGAGAAGGTGGAGAGGAGCCGGAGCGAACGGACACCATCTCGGGGAAGGCCGGTGGGGGCTCGACCGGAGGGAGCAGGTTTGGGGGGCCCGGGCAGCCCCCGGCGCTGCCCCTGGAGCTCCGCAGGGCGCTGAGCACCCCGGGGAGCGTCTGCAGCGTGTTATTAATAGCGATCCCCCCCTAGTCCGCCTCTCACCTGAGCCGGCCGCCCCCCGCCCGCTCTGCTCCCCCTTTCTCTTTTTCTTTTCCTCTCTTTCTTTTTCCTTTCCTTTTAATTTCTTCCATTTTTTTCTTTGTTTTTGTCCTTGTTCTTTTTTCTTCTCTGAATTTTTAATTTTCTTAGTTATTTCATTTTTTTTAATCTTCCTTTTCCTTTTGCCTTTTCCCTCTTTATTTTCCTCAATCTTCTACCTCTTTTTCCTTCTTTTTTCCCCCCTTCTTCGTTTTCTTTTTCTTCTCATTTTCCTCCTCCTTCTACTTTTCTTCCTTCGTTTTCTTTTCTTCATTCTTTTCCTTTTTTTGTTTCCTTCCCGTTTTCCTCTCCCGCCTTTCCATCCCCGCTATGTCCAGGGGATGGACATAGCATTCCCGCAGGGGCCGGATCTCGACCGTCCCAGCCCCTCGTCCTGCCCGGCAGCCCCCGCCAGAGCCGCGGGGGGATGCGGGAAGCAGGTGGAGGGGCCGCCCCGGGGGGAATCGCTTCCCGGGGGGATATTTTCCTTGGAAAAGCCTCCCCCGGCGCCTCATCCCCAGGGAACAGGGGTGCGGGGCCGGCTGCGGCCGCGGGGTTGCGCGGGGTCCCGCCGCCCCGTCGGAGATGCTGCAGCGCCCGGGCTCCTCCGAGTGGAGTTCCCGGGGGAAAAGGCTCCTCCGAGGGTGGGAAGGGACCCCCGCACTCCCGGAAAAAACCGTCCCGTGGGATCACCAGGGCGAGGAGAACCACACCTGCCTTCCCCGGCCGCCGTTCGATCGCCGGCTCCCCGCGGGCTGCGGCGGCCGCTCCGCCGGGCTGAGAACGGCGAACTCATCGCACGGGACCCCTCACGGGGGCCGCAGCCGGGTGAGTACCGGGGGGGGTGAAGCCATCACGGGACGCCCACCCCCCTGCGACGCTCAGCTCCCGTTTAATCGATCCGCTCCCTTTTCCCGGCGCTTTTTCCAGCGCTCGGGCGGCACCGTCTGCCGCGACCCCCGCGTGGGTTCAACCCCCCGCGTCCGGTGGGTGGGGAGCAGAGGAGGGGGCGCCAGAGCGGGTACCCCCGGGAGGCTTCCCCCCGTGCCCGTCCGCGCGTGGATGCCGTTTGTGGGGATGTCGGCGCTGCCGGGGGCGAGCCCGGCTCCGGGGTGGTGGGCGCTGCCCCCCCGCCGGCCCCCCTTTAAACCCCACCGCGGAGCGGCCTCTCCACGCCGCTACCCCCCCCGGGCACGCCCCTCGCCCCCCACCCTTCCAGTCGTTTGTGGGGAAACACTCACGGTCTTCCCACCGACCTCTCCTTGGGGAGGGGACAGAAATCCGCAGGAATGTCCCGAGCACTCGCCCCAGCCCCGAGGCTGCTCCCGGGCGTTATTTTTTTTTTTTTTTGGAGGGGGGGGAAAAAAGGCGGATTTCACCGCTGGGTGGGCGGCAGCGTGTCCGCAGGGGAGCCCCCCCCGGGCAGGGCTCCGTGGGTACCCTCGGCCCCCAAAGCACGACCCTACCCTGGCGGAGCCCCCCGCGCTGCTCCCGCCCGGGGGTCCCGTCGGGGCTGGAGGCGGGGCAGGTGCGTGTCCGCGTCCCGCGTGGGAACAGCGCGGGGAGGGACCCGCGGGGACCCTCACGCCTTAAGGGGGGGGGCGTTGGGGCCCCCTCGGCGAACCCCGCTCCGCCTTCCGCGGCTCGGGGGGTGTGCGGGGCCACGCGCGGGGGCGTCCCGCAGGGGTGGCGGGGCTCGGGCCCCGAGGGGGCGGGCAGAGGGTACCGGCCCCCCCGTCCCTCCTCGCCGCGGCCATTTAGGAGCGGGCGGGAGCCAATGGGCGGCGGCGCCGCCGCCGTGACGGCCGGGATTGACGTGATTCCCACGTCAAATTGATCCCGAGGAGCGGCGGGGGCTCCCCGCGAGCGGGGAACCGGCCCGGCGCCGCCAGGACCCCCCGGCCGCCGGCTCCCCGCCGCCCCCGCCGCCCCCCGGGCTCTCTATGCTGGGCCGGGCGCTGCCCCCTCCCCGGGCGGAGCGGCGCGACCCCCGCGCCGGGCGATGGGTGAGTGCGGGCGGCTCCGAGAGGGCTCCGGGACGGCTCCGCCGGGCTCTCGGCAGAGCCGGGGGAGGGCACCGGGCAGGGGGGAGGCGGCGGGAGGTGGTCCGGCCCGGAGGGTCTCGGCCGCAGCGCCGGGGCCGGCACGACGTGCCCGGCCGGGAGGGCTCCGGGTCCCCCGTTCTCCCGCTCCTCCCTTCGCTTTCGGTCTGCTCTCTGCTTGCGGCTCTTTCTCCCGTTCTCGCTCTTTCGCCTTTTCTCTGTCTTTTTAGTTTTGTTCCGCTCTCCTTTTTTCTGTCCTTTTTTTCCCCTTCTTGTTTCTGTTTTCTCTTTTTCTCTCACGTTTCCCCGTGTCTTTTCCCCCCTTCTTTTTTACTGTCTCTCTCACCTTATTTTTTCTGTCCCTATTTCTCCTTTTTCTCTCTGTTTTCCTCTTTTTTTTCCTCCTCTACCTTCTCCTTCCCTTTCTGCTTTTTTCCTCCTTCTCTCTTTCCCTCTCTTTCTCATTTTCCTTTCCCTTTTTCCCCCCGTTCCCTTTCTTCCCTTCTTCCCTTCCCTTTCTCCCTCCTTCCCTTTTCCTTTCTCCTCCCTTCCCTTTCTTTCCTTCCCTTTTTTTCCCCCCTTTCCCTTCTCCTTTCTCTCCCCGTTTTCCTTTTTTCCCCTTCTCTCTCTCCTTCCCGCGGCAGCCCCGTCCCGCTCCCGCTCGCTGTCCGGACATCCCGCGGGGACCACAACGGCGCGCCCCCGTGCCGTGCCATACCGTGCCGTGCCATGCCGTGCCGTGCCACGCCACCCCTGCCCTTCCCGCAGAGCACACGTACGGGGAGGTGAACCAGCTGGGCGGCGTGTTCGTGAACGGGCGGCCGCTGCCCAACGCCATCCGGCTGCGCATCGTGGAGCTGGCGCAGCTCGGGATCCGGCCCTGCGACATCAGCCGCCAGCTCCGCGTGTCCCACGGCTGCGTCAGCAAGATCCTGGCCCGGTACCACGAGACGGGCTCCATCCTGCCCGGGGCCATCGGCGGCAGCAAGCCGCGGGTCACCACCCCCGCCGTGGTCAAGCACATCCGCGACTACAAGCAGGGCGACCCGGGCATCTTCGCCTGGGAGATCCGCGACCGCCTGCTCGCCGACGGCGTGTGCGACAAGTACAACGTGCCCTCGGTCAGCTCCATCAGCCGCATCCTGCGCAACAAGATCGGCGGGCTCGCCCCGCCCGGCCCCCCGCCCGCGCTGCCCTGCGGCCACATCTACCAGTACCCGTACCCCGGCCCCGCCGCCCCGCCGCCCGCCAAGGCCGCCGGGCACCCGGCCGCGCCCCTCGGGGCACCCCCCGTCGGGCTGCCCCGCTCCTGGCCCTCGGCGCACTCCGTCACCAACATCCTGGGCATCCGCACCTTCGTGGAGCAGGCGGGTGGGTACCACCGGCCCCGGGCTCGCCCCCGCCCCGCCCGGCCCGCGGCAATTTCGCTTCCCCCCTCCCGCCCCCGTTTTGTTTTCGGTCTTTATTATTATCATCACTATTATTATTATTATTATGTCTGTTTGCTTTTTTTTTTGGTTTGTTTGGTTGATTTTTTTATTTGCTTCGAGGTTTTTGTGTGTTTCTATTTTTTTATTATTTTTTTTTCCGCGGGTTTTGTTCGGTTTGTGCTTTTTGGCCTGTTTTCCGCTTTTTTTGCTCGTTTCGGGTATTTTTTTATTAGTGTCGTGCCTTTTTGCCTGTTCCGTGACTTTTTGTTGTTTTGTGCTCTTTTGCTTGTTTCGTTCTTTTTTTTTTATTTGTTTCAGTTTTTTTGGTTCATTTCGGTTTTGGTTTTTTGTTTGTTTCCTTCCTTCCTTTCTGTTTTGTTTTTATTATTGTTATTATTATTATTATTATTTGTTTTGTTTGTTCAGTATATTTTGCCTTCTTTCTTTTTCTTTTTTTTTTTGATCCGAGGGCCACCCCCCGCTCCATCAGCCCGTCGGGGCGGCGGGGCCAGATGCGGCCTCGGCTCAGCCACATCTTGAACTTTTTATGAAAAATGTGGAAAATATTTTCGTGGGGATGATAGATTGCCGACCGCAAATTCGGAGCCCTGAATTTCCCTTCGCAAAGGGGAATATATATATATATATATATAAATACATATATATGGAATGGGGGTAAAAAGGGGGAGGGAAAAAACCAGAGGAGGGGGAAAGGAGAAGACAAGGCACCTCGGACCAGCCTGCGGGATATCCCCGGGAAATCGTCCCGGTTTTGGGGCTCCGGGAGCAGCGGCAGCGCCGAGCTCCGAGCCCCTCCGACTCCGGGGAGGGGACACGGGACGTGGCAGGGGAGTGCGGGTCCTTTTATCCTTCCAAAAGCCCGAGTAAATCAACCGCATGCGTTTTGCCCCGTGCAATCATTTATCCTTAAAATTCCGATGTCAGTTTTATAAATCTCCTTCGTCAGAAGAGAAATTGGGCCCCCTAAATTACCGGGGGCTTGGAATTGCCGGGGGGGGGGTGTAGGGATGGAGAGGCGGGTTTGGGGGGGACGCCACAGCCTCTCCCCACGGTGTGCTACCCAATTTCAGTCCAGGGGACCGCGTCCCGGGATGCTGGAGGGCGCTGGGAGGGAGCGCGAATTCCTGTGCCCCCTCTCCACGGGTTTGTGCAACCAGGCGTTTGTAAACCCGGGATTTCCCCCTCTTTCAGCCCAAAAACCTGCTCGGGCCGGGCCCGGCGGGTTCGAGGGCTGACGCTTTGCTCCCCAGGGGCTCTGGCTGGCACAGAAGGGGCTGCCTACCCCCCCAAAATGGAAGAGTGGCCCAGCGTGAACAGGACGGGCTTCCCCGCCCCGGGCCAGGCGGTCAACGGGCTCGACAAGGCGGCCATGGAGGGGGACATCAAATACCCGCAGGTGACTGCTGGGGGGGCAGCGGGGGGCAGGGGGGACAGGGAGAGGACGGGGTGGGCATTAGTGGGGCAGGAAGAGGGGCAGGGAAGAATAAGGCAGGGGGGCAGGGAGGGGACAGGGAGGGGACAGGGAAGGGGTAGATTTCCCACCGCTCCTATTCCCCCCCCGCCCTGCCCCCATCTCCCTGAGGGGGACCCCGACCCCCAGAGCCGGGCGGGCTGTTCTGAGCCCCCCCCTCCCCAACTCTGTGCCTGTCCCCAGCCCGGCCCGGGGCTCTCCTCGATGGGCACCTTCCTGCCGGCCTGCGCCTACCCCCCCTCCACCCAGCCCGGCGTCTACGGCGGCTCCCCCGGCGGCTACATCGGCCCGGGCCCCCCCTGGCAGCCGCAGGGGACCCCCCTGGCCCACCACGGCCACGGCGTGACCGTCCACGGCGGCGACCTGCCCGCGGCCATGGCCTTCAAGCAGCCCGGGAGGGAAGGTGAGCGGGGGGACAGCGCGGGGGGACCCCGGGGGAGCTGCGGGAGGACCGGCCGGGGGGGCTCGGAGAGCGGGAGAGGGGCGGGACGGGGGTGAGGGGCTGGGGAGGGTCCCTCCACCTGAGCCCCCCCGGAATTCCAGTGGTCCCCGTCCAGCCCCTCCAGCCTGAGTCGGCACATCCCAGTTATAAACTGGAAATCGTTTTTCCTGCCCGTTGGCGCTCGCTGGGAACAGCCAGGGAAGCGGGAAGGTTCGGGGCCACCCCCGCGCTGTCCATCCCCCCCGGAATGTCGGGGTGCGGCGGGACAGAGCAGGAGCCTTTTCCCCGCATCTCCCCCTGAATGAACAGGTCGGGAGCCTTGGGATGACGCAGAAAGGCAGAAGTCTTGACTGGGAATTCTTAATTCCTAGTAATTAGCCATTAATTATTAAGTCGCAGCAATTATTTAAGGATTTATGAATAACTTCTAATTATTATAAGTAACTATTATTTTATTTAATTTGTTCCCAGAACTAATAATTGAACACTCCCCCAAGAATCCCAAGGGAACAATTTGAGGCTGTTTAATGGGGCGGTTCTTTTGTCTCCTGTTAATTATTTCGTCTCATTTATGGAACTCTGTTTCCTCGATGGGCGGATTCGTTTTTAATATCCCGATTTTTCCGCCCTGGGTATAAAATCCCCATCGATATTTTTGGCCTTTTCCGGCGGTATTAGACTTTCTATTATTTTAATTAATTTGTAATTAATTCCTCACTTATTAGTCAATTTTCATGTAGTTTTTCTGGGGTTTTAATGTTTTATTGGTTTGGTTCGGTTTTTTACCTTTTAGCATTTCTGCCTCGTTCAATCTGTTGTGAGTAATCAAGGGGTGAGAACATATAATTTAAATCGATTATTTAAAGGGGGGAAAAAAAAAAGAGGGTGAAACAGAGAGCGAGAAAGCAAGGGGAAGGAAGGAAAAGAAATAAAAGAAAATGAGGAAAAAAAAGGAGAGAAAAAAAGGAAAGAAAAAAAGGATATAAAACGACCAAAGGCAGAAATCCGACCTGTGCACACTTGGTGTATTTTTGAGGTATTTTAAGTGACTTGTACCCCCGAGTTTTCTGATTTGCCGATTTTTAAGCTGTTGTATCCAAAGGCTCAGAGAGTTTTCTAAACGTTTGTGGGGTTTTGTTTTTCAAGGGGTTTTTTTTGTTTGTTTTTCCTTGTGTTTTTGAAATTTGTTTTCTCTTTCAAAGCTTTTTTTTTTTTTTTTTTTTTTTAAATTCATTTCGAACCGGTTTTCTGGTTCTGCGACTTATTCGGGATATCCCAAATATTGGATTATCCGGCAAAAAGCCTCCCCCCGCTCTGCCCCGAGCAGGGGACTGGAGGAGAAAGGGCGGTCGCCCCGTGGGATGGGCTGAGGGGGCTCCTGGCCCCCCAAACCTGCAGCGAGAGCAGAGAGCGGGGAAAGGATGGAAAGAAGGAATGAAAAGAGCGGCAGACAAACCCAGCCGGGCAATTTCCACCTTGTCATTCCAGACCTTTTCCGAATTCGCAGATTTTCCCTGAGAACTCCCCCTGCTCACGGCAGGGATGAATATCCCCCTCCCCGAAGGCAGCGGGTGGGTGGGGAGGGGGATTCCCGCGGCCTGGGCCAGGCTTGGGCGGAGCTGGGGCTGGGATGAAGCTCAGCAGGGGTGTCACTGCCCCTGGGATGGTGTGACGGTCCCGTCCCCTTCCCCTCCCCGCCGCTGGCGGCACAGTCCTCTCCCAGGGCACTCCAGCTTTAGGGAAGTGTATGGGATGTGTTCTGCGAGTGGCTGGGGCTGTTGTGGGTCCCCTCCCCAGGTAAATCCCTGGCAATGCCATCACCACGGTCCCTGTCACTGGGGGGAAGCATTCCCCTTTTCCCTCTCTGTTACCCTGGGTACAGGGAGCCTGGCAGCCCCTTTCCAAAGGGGTGCCTTTCCCAGTGGCTGGATGAGGAGCCCTGTGGGGCAGAACTGCTCTTGGGGGGCTCTTGGAGGAGGTTCTACCTGCTCGGAGTCCATCAATCCCCCGCCTTGTTGTCTGGTTTTTCCCTCTCCACCTTTCTTGCAGTCGTGGACAGAAAACCCACCAGCCCTGTGGGGAAACCTCCGGACCCTCTAAACACCATCCATGGACTCTCTATCCCAACCTCCTCGTCCTAGAGCCCTGGAGCAGCTGCCGAGAGAGAGGGACTCTTGGAATAAGCACCTGCAAACTGTAACTGAAGTGCCATCGAGCTGTGCCCAGAGTGCCACCGCCACTGCGGGGACGAGGAGACAGCCTGGGCAGCGAGAGGTGACTTTCTCCCGTGGCAAATCCTGGTCAGGACGTTCCCAGAGGGATGCTTTACCTCCAGTGGATTGGAAAGGGGTGACAGACAAGACTCGGTCTTCCTTCTTTGTTTTGTATTTTTCACCCCTTGCTTTCAGTTGTTCTTTCTCGTCCCCCATGTCCCCGAAGACTGTTGGATGCAGTGAGTGCCTCCGTCCCCAGCCACTGCTGGGACCGTCCCTGGCTCTGTCCCAGCCCAAGGGAGCAATTCCTGGCTTTCCCACGCCGGAGCATCCGTGCTGGAGCCCTTTCTCCGTCCACCTTCCAGTGCCTCTGCCCCAGAATAGGAATGGACAGAAGTGCCACGACGTTTTATGATATATTTTTCTAATAACAAACCTTAATAAAAAGTGACAGCTGTGGGCACACGCTCCTGACCTCCCTCCCTCCCTCCCTCGGGGTCTGGCTGAGCACCATCCCTTGTCCCGGGGTCTCCCAGCCTCAGGCAGCACCTGTGAGTGGTAGGACCCTGTGGGATCTCGGGTGGGATCTTGGAATCGCCCTGTGCCAGGCCTGGATTTGTGCCCCCACCCCTGTGTGAGTGCGTGGCAGCTCTGCACCCCACGCTTCATCCTGGGCTTCTCCTGCATCCAGGGGGTCCGTGGCCTCACTGGGTGACTCCTGGAGGGGCTGCAGGGCAGCCCTGGCCACCTCCCACTCACTTTGCCCCATCCCGGGGGGCTGGTGGGGGCTGTGCCCCGTCACCCCCTCCTGCCCAGCCGGCTGGGGCGGCTCAGGATGGGCTCCAGGGGCTCTTGCATTCCCTGGCTCCGCCAGCCGCTGCCATTGGCGTCGGTCCCTTCATTGTCTGGAGAAGGGGAAGGTCCTCCAGCGGGGCAGGGAGGAAATGTCCTGGCAGGAGAATACACGCCTGGCTTTCTGCAGAGAGGGCGTCTCTGTGGGAGGGAGAGCGGGAGGCAGGGGGATGCCAAACACATCCCACCGCAGGAAATTAGTTTGTCTTCGTCCTCGGGGTGGCAAGAGGCAGTTCTGCCTCTGCTGCTGCGAAGCCTCCGGCCGGAGCCGGGCTGTGCATCCCGCGGCAAACTCGGGAGGGGAAGGAGGGAATTTTAAGTAGGTGAGAGGATTGTCCCAGGGCAAGATCTGCTGCCAAACTGTCACTGGCTGGATTCTAAAGGATGTGAGGATGGAGGAGTCACCTGAAACAGATGCCTGGTTACTCCCCTGCCGGGTTTATCCATTTAAAGCCACATTCCAGTGCGCGGCAGAGCAGCTTTGGAATGATGGTGGACAGCAACACCCTTAAAGCGTCGGTGTTTGCTGTGGGCTGGGTTCTCAGCACCCCACTGCGACTCCTCATTCCCATCCCAGGCGGGATGGGCAGCGCTCCTGCCCCCTCTGGAGGTGGGACAGGGGGCTCTGACTGACCTGGGATGGGCAAGGCAGGAGTGCTGGAGTCGGGCAGAGACACGGTGCAGGGTCCAACCCTTTCCGTCGGTGTCAGAGTCCAACCCTTTTCATCGGTGTCCTGCTGGGATTGTGAGCGAGTGCCTGAGTGATTCCCTGAGTTATTCCCTGAGTGATTCCCTGAGTTATTCCCTTCCAAGGCTGCCATGGACCTACCAAAACCTGGGACAGCAGCTGGACGCTGAGCATCCCCCACAGCCCCAAGGCAAAGGGCAAGGGCCGTGTCCTGAGCCCCGGGACCTCGGCCTGCAGCCCCATCCATGAGCTGTCAGGTGGAATTTGCCACCAGAGGGAGACCCCCCCTTGTTCCAGAGCCAGGGAAGAGCCGCCTGCAGCAGCCGGCGGGGAAGCCTCACCTTCCCGGCGGGAAAGGACGGACACATGGAGTGTATTCCCAGCTGCAACCTGTTCCACTGCAGGGACTGAGGGCTGAGGGGCCACAAGAGCAGTCCCTTTTGTGCACTCAGGCTTCTGGTTCCTGCTCTTCTCTTGGCTGTTGGACCGGCAGCAGCCCCTGCTAAAAACGCGATTTTAATGATTTTGTTCGGAGAAGGGATTTTCTCCTTAAAAAATGCAACCCCAAACACGTCTCCATGCCCAGCAGAATTTCTGGTGCAGGCAGAGCGACCAAAAAGCCAAACCTGGTGGTCTGTCCCCTGCAGATCCACTGTCACCTCTTGGGGCAGGTGCAGGACACTGTGGATTGGTGTCCCCAGTGAGGAAGGTTAAGGAAAAGCCTTGCTGGGTGGAAAACACTCTCAGTACCTGTATTCCCCCGGGAGCAGGTGGAGTCCTTCCTGGAGGCCTGCAGCCATGGGGAGAATCCTTGGAAGAATTCAATGCCTGCCCCATGCACCTCAGGTAAGTCATTCCCTGCAATGGAAAAATGCTGGGAGCAGAGACCCCAAATAAATCCCGAAACATAATCAGTCCCTTAAGCAGGGTGACGTGAGGTGCTGCTCTGCCCTGCCACGAGCCAGGCTCACAGCAGATTCCTGCTGCACAGGCAGACTGACACAACCCAGAGAAAACTGGACTGGAGGGGAGCAGAACTTTTGGGATCGATGTAGCAAAGCGAGAGGGTGGAAACAATAAGCTCTGGCACTTCTGCAGTGGTGGTTTTGTCGAAATTGATATCACCCCTTGGAATGTGTCAGTTCTCAAAGTCAGACTGGGGCAAATCTTTCGGGTTCTGTGCAGCTAAATCCTCATCCTCGAGGAGGAACACACAAGAATCCGAGCCCAGCTCTCGAGAGAAGCTGCAAATCCAACCAGCATTTGCGAAGTTATAAACCTGCCCACAACTGCTTAAGCTGTGTTAGAAAATGGGAATTTAATTCCCAGGTCGCTCAGGCACTTCATAACATTTCCTCTTAATAGGCAGTTTTTCAGTTTAGGTGGGGGACTGGGCTGGACCAGCCCACCAGCAGGTTTATGGCAGTGCTGGTGGCCATGGAGACCTCCCCCACAACCCTTCCTGGCTGCTCACAGCCCATGGCCAGGGAAAATCCCAGCTCAGCTCCTCATTTCACAGCTTGGGATGCCCAATAACTGTCCCAAACCACAGAATCTTCATTGATTTCCTGAGGGGGTCCTGAGGTGGGCAGCCACCAGAAAAAAGATTGATTCTCACGCTGCCAACAATTTCTAGGGAAGAACCCAGATTATTTACGCCAGTTTGAGGGAACCCGGAGTTTTCACTGGAATTAGACAACTGTGGTACTGAAAGTCACCCCTTTGCCCAGTGTCTGCGTGCTGAGCTCTGCCCTTCCCTGTGGGATGGCTCTGGGATGGAACCCCCCAGCCCTACAGGGAGGGAGCAGTGTCTGTGTTCCCCGGGGAGGCCCCAAAGCGATGGTGAGAATCCCCCCAGCCGCAGTTCTGTCAGGGAAGCCCCCGCTGAGGTCGGCAGCTCGTACAGCTGCAATATTTATGTCGTTGCTCGGTGTCCCAGCCGGCTGCTCCTGAGGTGAGAACAGGCTGGAGAACAGGCTTTTGTTCCCTGGAGGTGCTGAGAGAGGTCTGTGACCTGAAGGTTTAGAGGGAAAACATGGAGGGTGTGTGGTGTGTGCAAGGACCTGCAGTCACCCGGGCTGGAGCTGCCGCAGCAGGAGAGTGAAAGGAGCTCAGCTGTGCCCGGGTTCTGACAAAGGCTCCCCTCAGCAATTTGTAGAAAGCTGGTGATGATAAATCGAAGGAAAAAATTTCCTGAACCCTAATTATAGTGTTACTCAGCCACCAAGAAGCTCTGTGGGTTTCGGTCTCCTTGCAGAAGCTTCCAAGTCGACGGATTTTGGAGCAGGCCGGGGAAGGAAGATCAATGACTCGCTCAGGGATGACAAGTCTGTCCTTCCTCGACTTGGTACTACCAATAGGAATGTAATATATCCCCTGGGAAAACACATGCCCCCCATCCTCTCCCCCCTCCTGCAGCATAGATATGAAAGCACTTTTAATCTCAGAGTTATATTGACCTGGCAAGGCCGAGCAGAGCTTTCGCTGCGGCTCTGCCGGAGATAGCACTCTTTTGGCACCGGCTTCCCAGAAAGTGATGTCATGTGGAATTTATATGCCAGAGTTTTTCCCCTTTCTTCTTCAGATTTGTGGCAATGTCAGAGTTCTTCTCTGGAGCAGATCTGGTTTTAATATTTCGTATTTACGTTTTTCATTTTGGGGGCCGGCCTGGAACCTCTCCTTGGTTTCGACCTTGCAGATGCCGACGCGACGGAGGCCGGGACGAGCGAGGAAGAGGAGCTGGGAGGGATGGATGGGCAGCCTTGGCTTCCTCAAGCCTCGAGAAGCGGCCTTAAAATAGTCCCTGCTTGTTTCTTAGGAGCTGTAATTGCCTCTGCTCCGACCCGCCGCTGTTCCTGTGCCCCTTCCCGCAGGGAAGACCTCCCTGTGCCAAAAAGGAGGCCTGGCCGGCGGATCCCAGCTGCGGTGGCCGTGCCGGAGCTGCCAAACCTCACGGATCACATAAAGTCCCAGGGATGTACAAGACCCAAGGGCCAGCCCCGGCCCAGCAGGACCATGCTCAGGGTCCCACAGTATCCATGTCCTGGGGGTGGAACCCACCGGGAGAGGGCCACGGTCGGCCTTTGTCTGATCCCAGTGGAGCACAGGAGGCTTGTGGAGTTGTGCAGGGTTTGGATCCACAGCAGCAACCCCAGCTCCTCACATCCCTTGGGCTGCAGCTGCCTGGTGGTCCCTGGGGACCATCCAAGGGAGAAAGTGGGCTCACAATAACCAGCGGGGATAAAGGCAGCTTTGGGCAATCCTGGTCCCAGTTGTGTTGTGCCACGAACCCTTTTCTGCAGAAACACTCTGAAGCCAGCAGGGTGTTTGTCTTTTTTTCTTCCCTGGGTTGCCAAAAGAGTCATATTTTAAAGTTGGGAATAGTTGT